GATTTTAAACCATGCAGTATCCCCTTGTTTTGTTCTAGTGACTGACTCTTGATCTATATATAGGATCCACATGAACATTTTTAAATGTTCTGGAATTTCCATTCTTCCCAGTGTTATTCATAACTTTTAATGATCCACACAATTGAATGCCTTTGCATAGTCAATAAAATATAGATAAACATTTTCTGGTATTCTCTGCTTTCAGCCAAGATCTTTCTGACATCAGCAGTAATATCCCTCTGTTCTATGTCCTCTTCTGAATCCTGCTTGAATCTGGCAGTTCCCTATCTGTGTACTGCTGCCACCATTTTTGAGTTATTCTCTACTTGTATGTGGTGTTAATGATATTATTTGATAATTTCTCTGTACTGTTGGATCCCTTTCTTTAGAATGGGCACAAAATACAGAACTCTTCCAGTCAGTTGAGCAGATAGCTGTCTTCCAGATTGCTTGACATTGATGATGTGTGTGCATTTCTAGCATTGCATCCATTTCTTGAAACATCTCAATTGGTATTCTGTCAATTCCTGGAGACTTCTTTTTCACCAGTGCCTTCAGTGCAGCTTGGATTTGTTCCTTCAGTATCATCGGTTCTTGATCATATGCTGGCTCCTGAAATGGTTGAACATTGACCAGTTCTTTTTGGTACAGTGCACTGTCTTTTTCATCCCATCTTCTTTTGATGCTTCCTTTATTGTTCAGTATTTTGCCCATAGGTTCCTTCAGTATTACAATTTGAGGCTTGAATTTTTTCTTCAGTTCTTTCAGCTTAAGAAATGACAAGCATATTCTTCCCTTTTGGTTTTCGCACTCCAGGTCTTTGCACATCTCATTATAATACTTTACTCTGTCTTCTTAAGCCACCCTTTGAAATCTGTTCAGCTCCTTTATTCCTTTTTTGCATTCACTTTAGCTACTTTGCATTCAAGAGCAAGTTTCAGAGTCTTTTCTGACATCCATTTTGGTCTTTTCTTTCTTTCTTGTCTTTTTCATGACCTTTTGCTTTCTTCATGTATGATGCCCTTGATGTCATCCCACAGATCACCTGGTCTTTGGTTGTTGGTGTTCAGTGCCTCCAATCTGTTCTTCAGATGGTCTCTATATTCAGTTGGGATATAGTCAAGGTCATGTTTTGGCTCCCATGGACTTGTTTTAGTTTTCTTCAACTTTAACTTGAATTTACGTAAGAGCAATTAATGGTCTGTTCCACAGTTGGTGCCTGGTATTGTTTTGACTGATGATACTGAGGATCTCTTCATTGTGTCCCTCTACACACGTAGTCATTTTGATTCTTGTGTCTTCCATCTGTTGAGATACATTTGTATAGCTGTTCATGTTATTGAAAAAAAAGTCTATCCAATGAATGTTGTTGGTCTTGCAAAATCCTATCTTAATTCCTGCCATTAAAGCCATATTTCCCAACAACTGATGTGTCTTTGCTTTCAAGTTGTGCATTGCAATCACCAGTAATTATCAACGCATCTTGACTGCATGCATGATCATTTTCAGACTGCAGAAGTTGGTAAAAATGTTCAGTTTCTTCATCTTTGATATTAGTGATCAGTGCATAAATTTAAATAATAATAGTATTAGCTGGTCTTCCTTGTAGGTCTAGGGTATTATTCTGTCACTGCCAGCATTGTACTTCAGGATGGTTCTTGAAGTGTTCTTTTTGATGATTAATGCTATGACATTCCCCTTTAATTTGTCATTCCCAACATAATAGACCATATTGAAAGAGTGGTGGATATTACAAGTATTACAGTGAATTCAAAGAGGAAAATATCATTTAGAATTTCCTAGGAGTTGTGTAACTTCAAGCTCTTGAGTAGAGACATGTACTGTTTAGAAAATCATTATATATAATAACATTTAAAATGATTTTTCTTTGGAATTAAACCTAATAATTAAAAATTTCCAATTGAAAGTGATATTCATACCTTTGAAAATTGGGTTATCAATTGAACTTGTGTTTTATTTCTAGATGTGAGGAAACTTAAAAAATTAATGTAGGTACATACTAGCAGTCCATATATGTATAAATATATATATATATATATATATATATATATATATATATAAAATTTTGATAGTTTCTCTAAACAGACAAGTAGTGACATAAAGCAGTCACACCTAATTTTTTGTGCATGGAAAGATACTGTATTAAGAAAGGACTGGTTGCCACCTAAAACAACTTTAAAGAATTGTGTTTTATTTATGTGGGTAGAGCTACTAGTAGAGTCAGAAATTCTCTTAGTGTTTTCCCAGTACATATTGCAACAGTAAGTATTTATGTTAATTAATTGATTAAGTATTTATGTTAATTCATTTATGTTAATTCATTGGTAGCACAGACTGGACCTACAAATAAACACTAGCTTAATTTGTAGATACATTATAATGAAATGAAACTTCATAAAATGAGCAAAATTTTTTAGTTTTCACAAGTTTTATATGACTACTTTCAAGTTTAGTCTTTACTATTATTTATCAGTTATTTAAAGTTTACCAACTTCAGTAATTCATGACTTATGCTTCATCTGTAAGAATTACCTGGTTGACTTTAAATACTTTAATAGAATTAGATACTTGAGCTCTAAATTACTTTCTTCATTGTTTTGTGTCCTGATTCCTACTATAATTTATAAATATATCTCATCTGGGATATTAGAATATATATGAAATATATCTAAATTCTGTGTACTCACCAGTTGAATATTTATTACTGGATTAAACAAACAAAACAGTTGCCATCCGGTTCATTCAGCTCATGGAGACCCCGTATGTGTCAGAGGAGAACTGTGTTCCATAGGATTTTCAATTGCTGGTCTTTATTTTTGAAATTGGGTCACTAGATCTTTCTTCCAAGGCACTTCTGGGTGGACTGGAACAGCCAACCTTTAAGTTAGCAGCCAAGCATGTTAGCTATTCATACCACCCAAGGGCTATTGTAATTGAAAAATATAGCTAATCTGGGACATCAGAAGTCTGTGCATTCTCTGATTGAGTATTTGTTACTGGGTAGATACATAGAAAAAGAGAGTCAAGAGTATTACCATTGTTTGCATTTCACATTTCTACAAAAATTGTGCAACATTTGTGGCTTGCTTTTGCAGTATATGTTTGATGTACCATTCTCTTCAGTGGTTTCAACAAAGAGAGATAAACCATAATGTTAATTAAAGTTGTTCATTGATTTGAATTGTTTACAAAAAAATTCCAGGTCTTTCTCTGAAGAGAATGCATTGTAAGTAGTTTGACATAGAAAACATTGATAATAGATTTTTTCCCCCCTACCTAAAGTTTATTTGGGAGCTCTGGTAGCGTAGTGCCTAAGACACTTGACTGTTAACCAGAAGGTTGGCGGTTCAAACCCACCAGCCACTCCTCGGAAGGAAGATGGGGCAACCTACTTCCGTAGTG